TACTCTTTCCTTTTGTCTTTTGGAGTGTGTGAACAAGGACACAAAGTCTGTTTCTGTTACATCTTGTTCACAACATCCTAGCAATGTAAAGGTTCTTTAGTAGAAATCAGATTTTCAGTAGAAGAGTAGGTTCATATTCTGTTTTTAAACATGCAATGAATAGAACTTCCTTGTACTCTATGGTTCCCTAAGCTTCTTCGTGAATGTTTTGTTGCATCCCTCTGAATTTTAGTCTCTTCTATCTTTCCCTCCCCTCAGCATAATTTATTGCCAGAACATTTCACCCTCCCACATATTCTTCCTTCCAGGTCAGTGCTGCATGGCATAAAGTGAACAAATGTGTGTAGTCTTGACAATCTTTGTATGACACCCTGCTTTGCCACCTTCCCACTTTTCAAGCTGTTGCCATTCATCACTATCTGCTATTCTACCACTCAGTGAGCTGGTAATTTTGAGTCCCATTGAATTTCAGAAGGGATTATGTTCCTAAATCTCGTAAATTCTGCTTTTAGCCTTATCTAATGCCTTTTAAAATAATAATTGTTATTAATTCAACCCTCCATGCTTTTGGCCCTACATTTTGTGTTTGTTGGTATTTTTTGGTATAGTATTGCTTGTTGATTTGGTTTCACAAATATGTTTCTATCCAGAGGAAGCCATTTGTCTGCTGCTTTTCTTAGTTCCTTGGAACTTCTCTGTTACTCTTCAGAGATATATTCTTTTTATGTGAATTAATTCCGATGAAATTAAATAGCATTCCAGATATTTTCCTTTTAGTTTCTTTAGGACTTTGTCTCACAGATCACAATGTCCTAGGCCTGTATTGTTACTGCATGCCCTTTTTTCCCCCCCAAAGTGTTTAAGCACTTTTTGCTATTTATTCTCTTTGTTTTTTTCTTATCTCAGAGCTAAATATCCCCTCCCTCAGTTTATTGTCATACAAATGCTGATCTCTTTTGACTTTGGTTGATGTTTCTGTGTGGTTTTACCAGGAAAGTGTGGTGTCTTGATTTTTATCTCCCATTGTCTCCTTCTGGTCATCGAGCTATTCAGTTATTAGCAGTTTGCAAATGCAATAAACTCACTCTTCAGTGTACTCAAACAGTTGCTTTTCCTGGACAGTGTTTCTCTCTCCATCCTTAACCCTCATTGTGCAGGCATGCAAATACTTGTATTACATGTGTCTAGATCTGTTCACCCTGAAAGGATGAAGCAATGGTTTGATTTCTTACCTTTAATAGGTATTGGTCCTGGTTTCTTAACTGCTGCTCAGTGTCTTTTAGTCAGACAAGTGTAGGTGTTTTTCTGGTCTGTTGTTGTTTGGTTTAGGTGTCTTATTTTAGTGTGTTTTGCTGTTGCATATGTGTTCATCAATAGGTCTGAGAATACCTACAAGTAACTAAAACATCATTTAATTTCTGAGTAAATTTATGTATCTAAATGAGAATTGTTAGTGATTTTTTTCTTCTGAAAAGATCCCAAGTTTTTCTTCTTTTATATGCTGCAGAGGATCCACGAAAACTTGGATTTTAATTTTGCTTCTGTGGTGGGTTTTCATTGTATATTTTCATTGTATATTTTTTCACGGTATGTGATCCCAGGGAATGCAGGTGTGTATCAAGCTGCATTTTCACCACTGCACTGCATCGCATTGCATTGTAGTGGTGAATGTGAATGCTCTTTTGTGTGAGGTAATAACTTTCAGTATTGTTGATAGACTAATTGTGCGAGTTTTTGTGTCTGTACTCTGAATGCAAAGTTTTCAGGGTGGTAGCATCGCTTACCAGGCATTTAAGTGGTTTAGTCATTTTGGGAATGCTGTCTCTCTTTACCTCATGCAGAGAGACTATGAGACTTATGTATTATTACCAGCACACACTAGTAATTTAGATGTGGCAGTGTAGATGGGGCACCATGTGGACAATCATTTCTACTTCTTTTCTTTTAGCTAGTCATTTCTGCATTTGGATGTGAGAATGCTGTTGTATGCTGAGGGTAGATTCTGTGGTCTTTTAGATCAGTAGGTGCTGGCAGGGATTACACTACTTGCTAACCTTGTTATTCTTCCTGTGCAGGTAGTCTGTAGGTAGATGTGATATGTGAAACCTCAGAATTGATATTTGCAACATCACTGCTGTTCTTCCATTCTTTACTACATCAATTACTGTTAATTTTTGCCTCTTGGCATGACTGTAGGCATCCTTCCTTTTATGTCAGATCATCCCATGCTTTACCTTGCTTTTGGAGTTGCATGGTGAAGTCCTTCCGTTCATTATGGATAAAATTACTTTAAAAAATGAATCTCAGTTGTTTTGGTGTGGGCTTTTTTTGATAGATTGATTGTTTTAAACCAGTCAGGGCTAAGTATTCTGTTTTGTTTTCTTTCATTGCATATATGAACATCCTTTATTTTCTTGTGCTGCCTTGAGGCTGTTCGAAGAAGAAAATGGCAGTTTTTTTCCCTTAACATGTAATCTGTACTTCCTGGTGTTTCATTTTTCTTCATTTTATTCCCCTCCATATTTTCCCTTTGCCTTTGTGTTTTACACTACTTAATACAAATTCTCTAACTCTTCCCTTTGCTAGTTCTAATGTCTTTCGTTTGCTTTCTGACTTTGATGCAGGCTTGTAAGGCCATTTTGCTTTTTTCAGACATGGATGGCTAGACCCTCTTCCTGCTCCAGGCCAAGGCTGTCAACACTTTCCTGGAGTGCTCCAAACCCTTTGTGCATGCGGTGCAGGAAAAACACTGAGGTGGAACTTGCACTCTGTACAGCCATGACTCAATTGTTGGTCAGTTCTGAGGGAAAAGCTCTGCTCTCTTCCTCCTTCATTCTCTACTGTTACATCCAGCCATCCTGTTGTTGCAGCAGCACCGCCAAAAGATGTCTGGTGGTTTGGTGCACAGCAGCTTGAGGCTTCTGTAAATGCTAAGGCTCGTATAATACTTGGTCAAGATGTTAAGTCAGCCTAGCACCAAAGTACATGCAGACCTGTTTGGAACATCAGCTTGCTCTTCTAGCAGAAATAGAGGAGGTCCCCATGTAGAAGTGCTCTGCCAGTGTAAGGCAGTGCTGTTGCTCCCTGGCTATGGATTTGCCTCACTAGTCCTTCTCTCAGGTAGTGCTTTTGAAAAATAAATAAAAAAATCCAAAACGTCGACCCCATCATCTGTTTCTTATTTGCTGGCAGTTCATTCTGTGCTGTGTGGAAGCAAACTCAGGTCACTTGCTATCTTTCCACTGCATTCACTGGTTTTGGAGTGGGCATGAAAAAGTGTGGTTCACTGAAGCCAGTGGAAAACCTCCCATGCCTTTAGTCATCTTTGGACTCTGTCTGAAGTGTTTCTGGTGGAGCAGGTTGCACCTGCATGCTAGGATAGCTGTCTGGCAAGCTGATTCTGAGAAACCAACAGAAGCCCCTATACACATGTGTTAATCCTGAGTATTTTTCTGCAGGAAGTGTTAAATCTTGTTCTCCGGAACGACGGCAAAGGAATTAAAGCATTTGGCAAGGAATAAGGGGAAGAATACACTCAGTGTAAGACTCTCTGTATAAGCTCTTCGGATGGCTTTTTTTTCTATAAATATCATAAGTATCTTAATTGTAATGGAGCAATATACTAAAAGTTGTAAGGTGGCCAGCATGAATCCTGGCTGAAAGAGAGTAAGAATTCAAATATTAAAGGTGGAGTTTGCTTTTGGCTATTGCTGATGACAAGGAAAGCTACTTTATGTACTTTTTTTCCTGTGAAAATAGACATGTAGCTGTTTACTTTTGCATTTTTCACATACCAAATTCCACAGAAGTATGTGATGCATTATGAGGAGTGTGGCCAGTAGGTCGAGGGAGGTTCTCCTTCCCCTCTACACTGCCCTAGTGAGGCCCCATCTGGAGTACTGTGTCCAGTTCTGGGCTCCCCAGTTCAAGAAGGACAAGGAACTACTGGAAACAGTCCAGCTGAGGGATACAAAGGTGATGAGGGGACTGAAGCATCTCTCCTTTGAGGAGAGGCTGAGGGAGCTGGGCTTGTTCAGCCTGAAGAAGAGAAGGCTGAGAGGGGAATCTTACAAATGCTTACAAATATCTGAAGGGTGGGTGTCAGGAGGATGGGGCCAGACTCTTTTCAGTGAAGCCCAGCGACAGGACAAGGGGCAATGGGCACAAACTGAAGCAGAGGAAGTTCTGTCTGAACATGAGGAAGAACTTCTTCCCTCTGAGGGTGACGGAGCACTGGAACAGGCTGCCCAGGGAGGTTGTGGAGTCTCCTTCTCTGGAGATATTCAAGACCCGCCTGGACAAGGTCCTGTGCAGCCTGCTGTAGGTGACCCTGTTTCGTCAGGAGGGTTGGACCAGATGACCCACAGAGGTCCCTTCCAACCCTGAACATTCTGTGATTCTGTGATGTAAATATCTGATTAAAAGTTTGAAAACTGGAATAATAGACACCAGATGGCAGGGGAAGTAAAAACTTCTGAAGTATAGTATGTCTTCCAAACAACAAAACTTTTCTGAAAATAACCAGTTTGAAACGTGCAACTTTCTTAGCAGTGAATATTGCTAAGGGATTGACTAGGAACCTTGATGATTTGATGGAAATTTTTGATCCCTTCTTCCTAAGAAAGGGAACAGTAAGCTACAAACTACATTTTAAGAAGTACCCTACAAGTAATTTAACTAGTACACATACAAAAAGAACTGTTTCCAGTGCTACGAGCTTTTTTTAGGCTGTCGTATCCTTGTCAGGAAATCTGTTTGTGTTTTGAGCTTTTAGAAGCATTGCACCTGGTAGCCCAGATACCAGGCTGCACATACACAAGTCAGCAAATCTGCTCTGAACCATGCATCCTTTCGGACCTCAAGGTCCTGTTCCAAAAGAGGGCAAGTGCACGGTTGCTGCCTTTGAGGGAGAAGAGACATCTTCAGGGGTTTGCAGCTCCTCAGACTTGCTCTGTGTCAAAGTAAAGGTAGTGGGAAGCCTGTTTCAAACACAAGGGAAGGAAAGCCATGACGTTTGAACAGGTGGAGTACACTGTGAGCCCTCATGGTGAGCAAACCTGCTGTAGACATCGTGGAAACAAGAGATGATACAAGCTGCAATGTAATCCAGCCTCAATTCGTGAAGCTTGGATAGGAAAACCAAAAAGTATTTCATTCATTTTACCAGAATCTTTCATGTCTCTGCCTTTGTCTTTGCTGTACACCTGGTGATGAAGCCAGGGGAGCCTGGAGACATTTATCTCCTACTTGTGTTTGTTTGTGTGTTGGTTTTTTGTGGTTGTTGTTAGTTTGTTTTCTGTTTCTTGGGCTTGTATAACCCCTTTCTGTGGTAGTGAGAAAAGAAAGCAAGCATTTTACTCTTTTGAAGACAAGTGGAAAAGTCCCCACACTGAGTGCTGTATAGGCCTGTTTGCCTTTTGTTTCTCTGTACTAATTGGTTAGAATGGATAGTCTTAAGTTCCCACAAGTATGTCTGTTAGAGAATTCCTCCATATCCAGCCTCTGGGAATTACGCTTTGGAAAATGAAGTACCCATCAAAGCAGGAGGTGGCTGGTACAGTTTGTATCCCAACTTCCCCCCCTTTGCCTTGCTTTTTTTTTCATTCTTCCAGAAAGCTGAAGAAAAGAGCCTTTTGTCTTCCTTCCTGAAAGGTTACGCTGAAATTCATCTGTGCTTTATTCATCTGCTTTCATTTGTGCCATTCATGGGCAGCTGTGGGTTATACAGGACAAAGCAGATGAATTCTTAACCTCCACATTCAAGCAGTGTATTGAGAAAGGTTCAACACCACCCTTCCCCCCTCCTTTTTTGGGGAGTCCAACTAGAGTATTATAGATTTCAGTTTCAGTACTGAGACATCTCTGGACTGTGTTTCTCCACATGCAGTTAAAATGGTGTGACAGAGTTCTGCTGGGTTGTAGAAGGGATGTGTCTACACAGATGTGTCTATATAGAGAGCTTTCTTTCTCAGTATAGCAAAACTTAGCAGCTTCTAAGGAAATGTGATTTAGAAGTTTGCTTTACTGGAATTTATGATTAAATATCTTTTCTTCCAATGATGACTTCATTTCAAACATCATCAGCTAGGAGAACTTGAATTTACCTCTTGTGAAGACTGCTTCAGATGTGACAAAATTGTATCATTTTGCTAAAGTCAACTTTTGATGTGGAGTTTTTAAATAATTCTATGAATGAGTAGGGAAGACTGTCCATTTTTCCTTTCCCTTTTTTTTTTTTTCTTTTAGATAGGCTATTTACTTGTGCCCTGTGCCAGATCTTCATCTGGTGTAAACAGACACAGGACATTTGAGAGGATCTGGTCTGATTTATGCAGCAAACACATAAACACTTGGCAATATGATTAATGTGCTTTGCTTTCACAAATTAAATGTGTCTTAAAACCGAACTTTGTAGACTACTTTTAATTTAAATCTATCACTTTTTCCCTCCCCAAATCGGATCTAAAAAGCATAATTTATACTGATCACCTTTTAAATTGTAGAATACACATTAAATTAAATTAGATTAAGAAGTTCTACACCTCTTTTTCTTATTCCCTTCAGAAAGCTGCCCATGGATTTCATAATCAGAATCTTGATCAACCCCCTCTGAAAGCTAAGAGGTGCTGGAGGAGGCCTCAAACCTTTTCATATTTGTTGATCCACCTGGAATAACAACTTCCCTCTGTTTCTCTACAGACTCTTCATACTCCGAGCCTCCTGATGTTCAGCAGCAGTTGAATCACTACCAGTCTGCAGCTTTGGCCAGGAACAACAACATCAGCCCAATCCCACTTTCTGTGAGTGCTGCAGGAGTGGAAAAAACAGAAGCCATCCTTAACTGTGAATTTTGTGAATTCTCCTCGGGTTACATACAGAGCATTCGGCGTCATTACCGTGACAAGCACGGAGGGAAAAAACTCTTCAAGTGCAAAGATTGTTCCTTTTATACAGGCTTTAAGTAAGTACTGTGCAAAACAGATAAACTGAATTCATATGGAGGTTTTTAGCACTCAAAAAGACTTCTGAGATCTCTGGAGAGCTGGCTGTAGCTGACAGAAACGTGGCCACTGCTGACGAGGGAGAGGAACATGGGAAATGCCATGCCAGATCACAGCAGCGTCCATGTAATCCATTTTCCTCTCTCCTACAACAGCCGGTACCATCTGCTGCAGGCAAAAGCACAAGTCCTTGCAGTAGATTTTACTTGCTGGAGGAAATGGTACAAGTAGTACTTTTTCTTCAGCCTAGGCAATTAGAGCTCTATCCTTATCCTCAAGTGTGAAAATTTCCTCTACAGAAATAAGGTCATTTCCTGGTGCAACCAGCATGAAGCATGGGACAGTCATGTGTCCTAGGAAGACAGGAGAATTTGTATCACCTTTCTGAAGAAACCTCTCTGATGTAATTTTATTTCTCCCGCCATCTATCTAGCTGATATGCAAAGCATTCTTGGACATATCTGATAGCATGTAGAGACATTTCAGAAAATCCAATTAGATGTGCAAAATTTAAAAGCTTGGTACTCTGTGTGTTTCTGTGTATGTGTGTTCTTAGCTGCTGTTCCATAAGGTAACAAAAGGCCCATGCACCTGTGCTGTTCATTATTTCCTCCTGATATGCTGGACCCTTGAGCATAACACCCTCAGCTGACATTTGAGGTCTCAAAGTTGTTAAGATCTTAGGAGACTGGTGACGGTATGCAGCATGACTGGATAAAGGGGAGGAGTTCTGTTGAAGAAAACATTGAGCCCAAACCTGAGAGAATCCATGCATGAGCAACTTCTAGTTATATGTAGCCTGTGATGCTTCAGCCCCTTGCTGCCTCTGTGGTATAATTTGCTGCTTGTGCTTTATATCCTGATTGCTGTCTGTCTTAAAGATTACCAGCAATTGCCAGGTCCGTTCAGTCTGTTTGTATCTTGTGAGTGCCATTTTCTTCTACCTGGATGAAATGAAATCATCCTAAATCAAGCAGCATTTAAACATGTCCATAGTTTCATAAAGCAGTAGTATTCTTTCACGTGGTGTCTCAAACATTCAAGGATTATGTCTTGCTCGTTTTAGAAGCACAGCATGTTTTCTGTCTTTAAAAAAAGGGGGAGGCGGGGCAAAAAACCTCCATACAAATGCCCTCTTGAAGTCACCATAGAAACATAAATTCTTGAAAGCCACTCACTGAAGTTGATAGAAATACACCTGTAGAATTTAGTAATTGCTGGATCAGGCCCAAAGCCAGTTGTGTTAGTAAATTGCTGTGTGTTCAAGCTAACAGTCTTGAAGAACTTCAGAGAGGCTTCTAAATCTAGTCCAATATGGCAAGCTCCTTAGCTGTGCAAGCTTTACCATTGCTTTAGGAAAAAATGACCAAGTGCCCCAAGTTTACAGACACCTTTCATTGCAGTAGCTGAGCTTGTGGTTAGATAGGTGTACCGTTAATTTCCTCTGTATGCGTGTCTCTTGCAACATTTAAGCGTGCAACCAGTGTAATGGCAGCATCAATTTTTTGGGCCAAAAGTACTGCAGAGTGTTCATTCATTCCTCCATATTAATGAGTATTCTTAGACTTGGGTTTTCAGGTCCTTATAGCTCATGCTTTAAAAGTTAACTACTAAACTCACTGTGAATGCAAGTCTATTTTCAATCCTGAATCTAAACATTTTAGCTGGTTTTGGACTTGTCCTAGAAAGACAGAGGTGGTTAAGGATGTTACCTGCCTCCAGAAATAAGTCTATCCTCACCTCTGCAGGTCGAGAACAGTTGATAGATTTTGTTCATGAAAATTTAATCTTTGCCAGAGCAAGTATACTGAATATTTCAGTCTGAAGACAAATAATGAGCATGAAAGATGGGAATTGTTTTTCTATCTTAGCGATAGCAATGTGATTATAGAGCAACCCATGCAAAAGAATATCTTGTTAGAATGAGTGTTTGTTACTTGAGGGTACAAGCCTGCAAATACTCTGCTCATGTGTTGCTCATGTGAGTAGCCCCACTGAAATGCCATGTGGCACTGTGAAGACAAGACTGAGTGGTATCTGTACCATTTTACAGGACACGTTCCTTATAGAGCTGTGACACTTCATCGTTCCCTGCACACCTCTTCTGACTGCTTCCATCTCCCTCCCGTTTCACAGATCTGCTTTTACTATGCACGTGGAAGCTGGGCATTCAGCAGTTCCTGAGGAAGGACCCAAAGACCTTCGCTGTCCTCTTTGCCTATATCATACCAAATATAAACGCAACATGATTGACCATATAGTTCTGCACAGAGGTAACAATATCCCTGTATGTGTCTGTATCTAATGAGGGGAATGCTGAACAATGCCCTTGTCTTTCAGACTGGTTTTAGTAAATATTTCCATCTCTGTACAACATTAATTTTTCCCCTCTCTGTACATGAGAAGTGTGTTGAGTAAGTCATCAGCCCTTGAGTATCTTTTGTTTCATTTCTAAATGATACATATTATTTATTTCCTGTAAAATTCAAGTTAGCCAGTACTGAAACAGGGCAGATTTAAAATTGTTTTTAAGATTTTCCTCTAGAGAGGTTAACAGTCATCAAACACCTGTTTAGCAAGAGTTGCCCTAATTTACAGCTCTGATCTGGGCCAGAGTTGTTTCCTGCTTATGTCCTTGTGATCATGAAGTCCTTACTACCATAAACTCTATCACAGAGTGTATCTAATAACCATAGAGGCCCCAAAATATCCCTTGATTACTTGCTTGAATGTTTTCTCTTCAGTGTTCTGAGGATCAAACCAAGAATTATCACGTTTGTTTTTCTTTAAGACTTGTTTTCTATCTCCACCTCTCCTTTTTTTTAAGCCAACTAAAAGTGGGATTAGGGATTTCTATATTCTATTAACTGCGGGCTTGCTAGCTCAGAAGACACAGCTGTTTGGGCTCTCTGGGCTGGGATTCCTGCCCATAGCTATCACACTTGATGCTTGTAGATGGTCTGTTGGCTGCCGAAATCCAAACCCATGTGTTGGGATGGCACTCTGCCTGCTTGCAGGTTGGGCAGAGTTTCACAGTAGGGTATTGGTGGTGAGCAAACACGAGTTTTGCATGCCATCTTTTTCCTGGAGGAGATCCTGGTGTGACAAGCACTATCGTAATTCCTGCTAACATACCAGTTTTCAGTGTTGGTAGCTTAAAGTCCTTCTTGTACCACAGCAGTGAGGTTGGCAGAGTTCATACAAATTTCTGTCTGCTAGCAGGGGTATTCTGAGGGAACATCTGGGGAAAATGACCTGTCAGTTATTCAGAAAGCATATTACAAAGCTGCCTTATTTGGTTGTAAGATTTTGGCAGATGTTTTAGCTTTTACTTCCTGTCTTTGAAGGTGTGGTTGTGACAGATTTTGCTCAGCCTCAGGGCATGCTCCAGAATTAGCTCCCTTTAGAGTCTGGAGCAGAGGGTTTAGTTAACGAGTGTGCAGGGCACTGTGCAGTTCCAAGTGCTACAGATGTGTGGTCTGGTTTCTGGATGTGCCAGGGATCCAGTGAACGCTGCCAAGCCTTTAAAATACAGATAGACAGGCAGAGGGAGAACTTGGTGGGCTTACTTAGGGTGTTTTCTGTCATGCATGGAGTTGACACTGGGAGAGTCCAGCTGCAGAAGTGGAAGAGCACTTCATGAACTCGGGCAGCTGTGCTGCCTATACAGAGCTGTTTCTGAGCAATTGCAAGGAGGTGGTTACCTCCTGGGTGAGTGACACTGTGGATCTCTTCTTTTGCGGAGCTGTTGCTTCAGTTGCACAAAACAGCCTCGAGCCTTTGTCCTGCTGAAACAAAGCTGATAGCAAAGGACAAAATGTTAACACCCACTAGAGCACTGGGAGAGGTGAAACACAGTAAAAGAAGTTCTAATGCAAATGGGAATTTAGTTCATAAAGAATCTCAGAGGCCACTGGGGAAAGGATAAGGGTTTTCTATGGCATCAAGCATCCATCTAATAAAGGAGGTAGGGTCCTTCCTTAAAATTCTTTCTGGTGTATGTATCCAGCTAAAAAAAACCTCTGCAGTTGTGTTGAATTGTGTGGCAGCTGAAGCAGACACCTTGGACAAGATTTAACATGCACTGAAAGAGAGTCTGAGCGATGGTGAATGTAGTCTGAGATAGACTTCCTGGCCATTGTATTAGTAAAACAAGGGCATAGCCCTGAACTCCGGTCCAAGAAAATTAGTTTTGAGGTAGATGGAGTTGTGCAGTGGGTAAAATCAAGAGTGAAGGATTTGACCCATTTCATAGTTAATGTTCCTTTTATGTAAAAAGATGTGTTTACAGATGTGTAACTCTTCCTTCCAAGCTGCTGCACCCCTAATGCTTGGTGAAACAGCATGTGCTTGAAATGCAGAGTATAGTTGCCTCTTAATGAGTGGCTGCAGAAGCTGAGTTTTCAGCTAGAAGGCTGCATGCCTAGTGAGAAAAAATTAGACAAGTAATTTGCTTCATATTAAGAACGAGGGCAAACAGAAAGCCTCCAAGAGCCTTACTCTGTTTATCACCTATTCCTCATCAGTCTAAAAGCAGTTCACCAACCCTTCTGCGGGCACAGGGGGAGCACAGACTCATTACAGGTGGCTTGTAGAAGAGGACTGACACAGCTACAGGCTGCTAAATAGGTAGGTGAGGAGACGTCTGCCTCTCAGGTTCTTCCTGGCCTTTGTGACAGGCAAGCCTGGGGAGAGACAGGGTAGACAGTGAACTCCTACTCCATGGCCAGCAGAGGTGTTGGCCTTTAATTTAGTCTAGACAATGCAATTAGTTTTCATTATCCCTTCCAGTAGCATTCCTATCACACATTTTGAAACACATTGGTACTTTTCCAGGGCTAAATGCTACTTACCAAGATCACTATTGAGTCTACTTTAAAATCCATGGGGCACTATTTTTTTCTTCTTTTAGGGATAATTTTAGTTTCTTCCTGGTAGTGAGAACAGAGAACAAAATACTGATTTTGTTCTTCTATTTAATAGAAATCACATCCATTTCTCTTGAATAGTAACTTTAAGACAAAAAGTCAATTTTTCAAATTCATCTACTGCCCCAAAGGCTTCATTGCTACATATCTTGATTCCTTGCACGTAGTTGTTTCTGGCATTATTCCTTGTACACACAACTTCATTGATACATGCAGAACCCTTGTGCTGTGCTTGCTTTTGGCTACTGGAATGCAAATGCAAAATGTTCTGTGACTGTAGCTTGGATTTGCAGGCAAAAATGTTTATTTTCAAACAGCATGACCAAATAATTGGTCCATGTCTAGATAGTAGGACAGTTTTGTTTGTACTTGGTTTATCTTTAAGGGAAGGAAATAACTTGTATATGCTGTGGTGTGTTGCCAGGTAAAGATTTTTCCTTACAACTAAGGACTGATAGACTCATGGACTTTTCTTACGCCTTGAGCAAAAAAATACATCAGCTTTGTGCTGCAAATACCTAGTACATTAATGGCCTTCCAATGTAATCTCTGATCTGCATTACAGTTAGCCTGAATATTTCAGTCTAATGGAAGAATTGGATTTCTTAAACCAAGATGATGCTTTTTAGATGTTTAATTTTTTTGTTTTTTAATCACACCTCTTGCTAAATTGTTCCACAATACAGGACGTCTTTTTGTGAGGCATGTACAGCAGTCTTTGTTTAGATACTGCTGAACTTTGAAGAAGCTATCTCTTTCAATTTGTGTAGGGTGTTTTATGGTTTGCTGTAATTTTGTGAGTTGCTCAGATATAAGTGCATTCTAAATGAGTAATCAAATGGAGCTTTGTAAGGGCAAGCTAGAGGTGAGCGCATCTTCTTACAAAATGTGGGGTTCTGGATCCAAATAACCCTACAAGTTCCAAAATCATTGCTTGGAGGAAGCTCTCTGACATGAATACATCATGTAAAAGTTCTAAATCATTCCCCAAAAGTGAAATCCTTCAGGGTAGAATTGATGTTTATATTTATTTTGCTTTTCTCATGTTATTGTGCCACCTATGATTTGGGGAGTGTGTATGATTATGAGATAATAGGTTTTGCTAATGTGAATTAGGGAATGCTGTATTACTCTAGACTGGTAGATTACAAGTTTTATACCATCCCATGTTTTAGCTTTTTAAGTCTGTGCCAGGTGCTAGAGGAAGAGTGAATTTGCAAATATTTTAATTAGTATTTGTCTTTTTGAAAATGTCACTTGACTTTTTCACTTTTGAAACCAGCTGCATCCCTTATTTCAGTGAGTTCAAAAGCGCACAGCTGCAACAACCTTGTAAAAAGTCTTCTCATGACCCCAGAATCACAGCTTTAAATTCTGATGTGTCTTAGACCCTATTCTCCCCTCCCCTTTTCCCACCCTGAATGGCCACAACTTGGTGTCTTTATAGCTAGAGAAGCTGTTGTTGGTGTAGAAAAGAATTACAAGTCCACAGGGGCTTTTTTTAAAGCATAGCTTTGGGAAAACTTCCACCTTTTGAAGTGGCCAAAGAGAAAGTTATGAGACAGGATAACTTTTCTGTTCAGGGAGAAGCTGAGCAGGATGGAATATTTTGCTGGACTGTGGAAAAAGTCCTGTGAGCAGCAGTGGCATGTGGATTGGCCAAAAGAGAATGAACAGTGGAACTTTTGCCACCTTCCAGAAACCCTAAGGGAGTTTGTATTTCTGTAGTTGTCTTCAGATGTGCTGTTAGCCTCCTCACTAAAGAAAAAGGGCCATTGGCTCAGATCCTTATGTGGATTGCCACATCTCACATTCCCCTAGCTTTCAGGTCTACCATCTGAGATTCAGGCCTGGGTTTTTTGTTTGTTTGTTTTGATCTGTCGTTAGAGATCAACCTGCATGAGGAGAATCAAACACCTCTAATCTGCGGTCCGTAAGGAGTAACGATACTAAATTTCAGTGTTCTACTTCAAAAGACCAGTTGAGTAACAAAAGCCCATAATGAGGATCTGCTGACCCTCAGCTGAAGGTTCAAATTTGGGGTTCCCCTTGCGCGCACGGCTCAGGGAACCACAGTGGGTGAGCGTTAAACACATTAGACTCTGGCTCTGTCAAATGACTGACATTTATTGCTGCTCTGTTAAACGTGAGTGCTTTGAGAAGCAGAGAGTTTAAAAACTCAGCAAAAGCATATTCAGTACAAGCCTGTATCTGTGGTCTGGACTGTGGGAAGTGTGCAGATTTGGAGTCTGAGCTTTCTGAAAGCTCTGGGTGCATTGGGAAGTTTCTGCCCCTGGCTGAACTGCACAGCCTCTTCCACGAAAAGGTGCTGCCTTGCTTACCTGCTCGGTACCCAGAGGGTAGCTTTAAATGTGATGGTGAGCATATCAACTCAAATTTTTATAGAGCCAGCGGGATGATGCACTGGGAAGCACCCTGCATCTTCCCTTTTCATTCCATTTCTAGCAGCCATTCCTGGCTGCTGTCAAGTACAGAACCAAAATGGATTTTTAATCTGGTTGATTTTGTATTCCCAGGCTCTTCTACTCTGACTCGCAGGTGGAATCTCATTTGCCCCAAAACCTCCATGCTCATCCTTTTCACCCAGTAAGCAGTTACATTTTTGAGGACACTTGCATTTGTAGCCTTGGAGGATTAACTCTGTCATTGAAGGAAGAATTTTTGTCTTGTGTTTATTATGTCGGTCCAGTTTAGCTCCCATTCCTTTACAGACGGACTGCCTACCCATATAGCAGATCATATTACTTGTGTGGGTGGTAGACCCCAAGCTGTTGACATGTGGGCCTGGTATTTAATAAAATTTGTTAAGTGAATGTTGTCCTGTCCCTACAGAAGAGCGGGTCGTTCCCATTGAAGTCTGCCGTTCCAAACTGTCAAAGTACTTGCAGGGAGTTGTTTTCCGCTGTGATAAGTGTACCTTTACCTGCTCCAGTGATGAGAGCTTGCAGCAGCACATAGAGAAGCACAATGAACTGAAACCTTACAAATGCCAACTCTGCTACTATGAGACCAAACACACAGAGGAGCTGGATGCTCACCTTCGAGATGAGCACAAGGTAACATCCAAATAGTTGTGATTTGTAGCAGTCTACTCTTTGCAAATGCTGTATTAGTTTGCTTGCATGTCAACTCTGAGTAGCCAACTTGACGTTGTTTTGGTTTCTTTTCACTCCCTCCCCGAATTCGGAAACTAATCCCTCGCATGTTGGACTACACTTCCTCTGTTTTCTATTATTTCTTTTTTCTTTAGAAACTAAAAATTAAGGGTTTCTAAAGCTTTTCAGATTGACCAGAATTGGCAAGCTGTTGTATGCAGAGTATGATTATCTGGAAAAGGCACTTGTGTATGCTAAGTTTATTTAAAGAGGACAAAAAAAAGGGTTGTGAAACAATATTAAGGCTGTGTGATTCAGCCTCTCTAAAAGGCAGGGGATTCCAAACATAAGATTGCTCTGGCAACTTCAGCAGCGTGACATGCCATGCATATTTTAATAACAAAGAGGGCAATACATCCCCGCTTACATTTAGCAAGGGAAAGATAAACAGCAAGTAAACCAGGTCCCAAGTTAAGGCTGCTCTGGAGTTTTTGTGGAGCGCTTCAGTGCAGACCTGATCTGGTCTTTGAGAAGTCATTAGAGGCTTCCCACACACTGTGACCTGTGAACCATGTAGCGGAGAAACACTCAAGTTCTAGAACTGAGATGTGTTTTGGAGTATTTGTTAGAGTACTTCCTTGTCACATTTCCAGGGGAGGCAGCTATATGCCTCCACCTGTTGGAGTTGAGCTGCCCAGGTCCTTGCTAAAAACTCACTCCTACTTCATTGACTGATTGACACTTTGCTTACAGCCAAATACATTTATATTGACAGTATTAGCAGCAGAAGTCCCAGTAAAACTTTTCATGCTTAATAAATATTTGACTGTCTTATTAAAACAAACTCTGTAAAGTTACATTTGGCCTGCTATGCTTATCTACCCTCTTCTTTTTAACATCTGGAGAGTCTTCAGCAATTCACACAGTAGGTGAGATGCTCCACGCCTCCTAGTCACCACAGCAAGGCTCCTGGCTTATCCAGGAGGCACTATTCTTCATTTTTTTTACACAGTGCATCAGGCTGGGAAGATTATTCCCTTACTTAGCTCTCCCTTTCAGTCCGGACCTGCAGTGATGGTGCCAGGAGTTCAGGGTATCTTTTCCCCATTTCTCTTTGGTAATTTATATCTCGCTAATTTGTGTCAAAGTTGTTGGCTTAGATACCCAAGTGATATATTGCACCTTGAAGAGTTCCTGTACACAAGCTGAGTTGAATTAAGTGCCTTGCATGTGGTCTTGTTTGTTTAAATCTCAGTGGGTAACATGTTAATCACAGCTGTCTGTACGAAAGAGTGCTAGGAATCTGCACACCACTACATTTAGTATAGTTTGCTGTTTGGACATATACTACAGTGTAATTCACACGCTCCTTATTTTCATTCACATTCCCTTTCCTGCAGAGGGACAGAAAATAGTCAGTGGGTGTTGATATTTCATTCAGCATCTTGCAGGAGGTGTGGTTCTGCACTCATTCTTCTGTCTCCATCCTCTCTGCCTCTGTGGCTCAGTGCCTGTGCTGCTGGAGGGATGTCTCTGAAAGATGAATCCAAAAATCCTTCCCAGCAGTGATCAATGAGCTCAGAGGGCACTTGTCATCCAACAAGTATTAGCCCTATG